AGTTATGTCCGACTCTTCGTGACCCCATGGACCAAAGCACACCAGGCCCTCCTGTCTTCAACTGGCTCCTGGAGTTTGGTCAAATTCATGTTGGTAGCTTAGATGAAACTGTCCAACCATCTCGTCTTCTGCCGTCCCATTCTCCTCTTGCCTTCACACTTTCCCAACATCAGGGGCTTTTCCAGGGAGTCTTCTCATGAGATGGCCAAAGTACTGGAGCCTCAGCTTCAGGGTCTGTCCTTCCAGTGAGCATTCAGGGTTGATTTCCTTCAAAACAGATAGGTCTGTTCTCCTTGCAGTCCAGGACACGCTCATTTCCAACAACTACACCCACGGCTCCATCAGAAAGGGGGCACGGCTCCATCAGAAAGGGGGCACCCCACAAATGCTAGTCTTTCCCATCTGTGTGGGAAGTCTGTTATTGAAATCCAGCTTACATCTGGCTGCCTCCTAACAAACCCATTTATCTCCATTAAAAACAACAGCAACCTCTCCAAAGTACTACGTCAACTGCCCTGCCAGATCTCACCACCTTAAACCTACTCTACCCAGACAACGCCTTAATGTAGTTTCCAGAGTTATAGACAAAACAGGAAGCAATCCTATCTGTTGATACAGAGTACATCTCTACAAACTATGAACCTGAATGGCTGAGAAAGTCCACGGTTAAGCCCAGATGAAAGGTAAATGTAAGTAATTTTGAAAAGCCAAGGTCTCTCTAACTTGCTCTGCTCCCAATGGCTGTTGAGGCAGGATAGCAGCAAGTGGGCAAAGACCAACTGTCAAAAGCTTAGAGCAGTGTTGCTCCAGCAATCATGTGACTTCAGAGGTCATGTGACACCTTCTCTCATTATGTCCTCAGGGGTATGTCAATAGTTATTTAAATGTCTCTCACCCTCAGGCTGCTTGCCAACCAGGCTGCTTGCAAAAGTGAAATAAAAGTCTTGACCTGAGGATCATAAATACTTCTGCATGGGCTGCTGTCGGGCTGTTTGTTTTTATTTTTCTTATAAGCTCATAAATGCTAAGTAGTATCTCCAAATGAGCATCCATTAACTATCTTAGTTAATGTCGTGGAGCTATTTACCTACTCCTTTTTAGGCTGAGAGTAAAGAATGGAATAATAGAAGATGTTGGGAGAACTAACTGCCATTCAAACCAGTATTTATGTCACAGAACCCTGGTCCAAATTCAGAAAATGTTAGGACTAAAATAAATCTTTCTTTCTCTTGTCCTGACTTACGGCACAATCCTAACTAGCCAGGCTGGCCTGAGACTGGCTGAACCAGACTCTCATGGCTGGTTCCTGTAATACATTTAACTAGTTATACTAAGGTATACAGTGGTGCCTCGCTTTACGATTGCCCCACATGACGAAACCGCATTACGACAATCTTTTTGCTCCCCGCTGTTTTCTGGGATGGATTCCTTGCTGCACAGGCACCGAAAATGGCCGCCCTATGGAGGATCTTCGTTGGACGGTGAGTTTCCAGCCCATTGGAACACATTGAAGGGGTTTCAATGGGCTTTTTATTTTCGCATTATGACGTTTTCGTTCTACAGCGATTTCGCTGGAACGAATTAACGTTGTGATGCAAGGCACAACTGTATTGGATTTTTAGAATACATTTATATAGTTGCTAAATTCTAACACATACGGCTGTATCTCAAAGATTACAATGACGGCAAATCTCATTACAAAGAAATGATGGTATCAGCATGTTTGGGATACATCACCAGGAGTCATGTTGCTGATTTTATTATGTCCCGTCAGGTCAGCTCTGACTTAAAGCGACCCTATGAATGAGGTATTTCCAAAATGTCCTGTCCTCAGTTGCCCTGCTCAGCTCTTGCAGACTCAAGTCTGTGGTTCTTCTAGGGAGTCAGGCCATCTCATATATGGTCCTCCTCTTCTCCTGCTGCCTTCAAAATCTCACAGCATTTTATAGAGATGACTCCAGCTAAACTGTCTAAAATACATGAAAATTTTTCCAACAAGTGTTGGAAACGTAAAATGCAGGAGGGTATTATCTATCATATTGGGTGGACATGTAGGGAAGCAAAAAAATTTATTGGAGATCAATACATGAAATATTACAAAAAATGTATCTTGTGCAATACCATTTAAATTGGAAGTGTTTTTATTGATTATGCCTGAGATTGTAGATAAAGAAATATTTGATAATACATGTAATTACTGCAGCTAGGATCCTATATGGGAAATACTGGAAGAAGAAATACCATCCCTAGAGAAACTGACAGAAAAGATACTTGAAGCAGCAGAGATGGATGTACTAACAGAAGCACTGAATGAAACATATAAAAACTGGGAACAATTTTATAGTTGGACTCAAAATATGGATTGGAAAGTATAGAAGAGTATGAAGGTCCAAGTAGGGAATAGAAAGATTATTAACTATAGAAATTCTGGTAAAATGTGCTAAATTGTTTTTGTGATCTTCCTCTTAGTATAATTGTATAAGTGGATCTTTAAAAAATAAAATGAATTTTACCTTTTCCCTACCTATATCTGTTCCCTTTACCCCCCCCCCAATATCCCAACCCCAAACCCTATTCCCACTGAAAATGAATAAAAATTAATTTAAAAAATCTCACAGCACTACTGTCTTTTTCAAAGGATCTTTGTCTTCTCATGATATGCCTAAAGTAGGGCAGCCTCAGTTTCAACATTTTTGCTTCCTGAGCTAGTTCAGGCTTGATTTGACCTAGGACTCACTTGTCTGTCTTGCTGGCATCCGCAAAGCTCTCCTCCAGCACCATATTTCAAATGAACCCGCTTGTGGACACAAAACATCTGCTTTACCATCAAGCTAAGGTCCTCTAAAAGAGGCAGAACATTAAATGGCTGTACAATGCATTGGATCCTTCTGAATGGCAAAAGCAGCAAACCCTGCTCCAGAGGCAACGGGAAGGCAGCACACTGTGACAAGTCGGTTGCTCACACACTATTTTCTGAAGAAGCTGCTCGGATGAGTAGCAAAATGTTTCAACCTAACTCGAAAGAAGTCCAGTTGCCATGACTCAGCTTCCAGATACAGTATTTTTTTTACAGTCTGTCGCTCATAATTGTGTGGAAGAGGCAGATAAGATATTTCAACACTAAGGTCTGGTTGTCACTAAATATTTACACGGGAAAGACACAAAGTTATTGAAGCACACTGCTTTTGGCTTTTCTTAAAACTAAGTCTGATGTGGCAGGAGGGTGGAGAACATGCAGCCCTCCAAATGGGACAGGTCCCAAGACTCTTCATCTGCCTTAACTAACAAGACCAACTGGGATAATAGGATTTGTCATCCCAGATGAGGCACATGGGTACCCCTGTCCTGGCATAAGTTTCCCTCAAGTGCAATCTGCAGCCATTAAACGCAGGACAGGGATTCACCTCCTGGATGGTCCTTGAAGTCCACGAGGTACCCAGGTTAGATTTAAAATCTATATGCCGTATCGCCGTATCGGTGCTTACAGCCCCCCCCCCGCATCGAGAGGTTGAAACGACTTCCCCAGCAACCCATCAGGACAGCAGCTTTTTTTGGGGGGGGGGTATATGCCTCGCCATTTCGGGATGGTCCCTGAAGACCGCTCATGCACATGCATGCATGCATACATGCACACACACACACACACACACCCCTGCACCCTTTCCTTGGGCATGACCTTCCCGGGTCCATTCCGACATTTAGCGTTATGTCTGGAAGGCACCCAGGAACCGCAGCAGCCACGCGGCCTCCATCTTTACAAGGAAACCATTCAAAACAAAACCACGGCCTAGAACGAGAGGAGGAAGTGCGCCCCCCCATTCCCGGCGCGCTCCGCCGGAGCCCTGGGGGCAAAAGAGGCGGGCCCTCCTTCGCCGCCCGTCTTCCTGCTTACGTCATTGGAGGGCGGGGCGAGAGCCGGGAGGGGAGGAGCATC